GAACTTCTGCTTCCTGTGAAGAGTAATTGTCAGTCAGGAATATAGAATAATTAAAAGCAACACAAGTAGTCCTTTGACTCTTTTGAAGACTGTGAGGCGAATGAAGATCAGTCTCTGGGGATCCTTTCAAAAGTTATACTTCTGTCTTTTTTTTTGCATAAAACGCACATAAGACGATTTTATTTTCAGTCAGTGGCTCAGTCGAGGGCATAGCGATAGCGAGTCTGCCTCGACGAGCGTTACTAGTTGATTATATACTGATTTTTTAGTCGACGGTAATGTGAGTCACGCTCGAAGAACGTTATTTATATTTGTCTGGCTGGTAATGCATCGGCCTCAATAACTACTCGTTCAGCAGCATCAGCAAATGAATCCTCAATTCGATTGAATATGACTATGGCAACCGCTGGAATAGACAGCTATCGTGGTGTCTTATTCCTGGCAACAAGTGGAAACTTCGTCTTTCTCGTAACTGTCAATGATGTTGGGAGCCCTCAGAGCGTTATTCAAGATATATGGCTGTGTTATTTAGATGTACTGTCATAAAACGGAGATACTGTCCATTGCCTACAAATGTCTATGAGCACAGTGATCAGATTTACGTACTCATACATATGCAGTTTGAGCACAACAGCGGTACAATCCTGTAATGCAACTTATATGGTATTATCGAACAATCAAATTGGTATTATAACAGCTGCGCTTGACCTTGTGACATCACAAAAAGCAAAAAATAAAACGTTTATGTTCAAAATAAAGGCAGACTGAAAAACTATTTTTCTCATGATAACTGATAGTAGAATGAGATAGTTTGTAAAAGAAGTCAAATGGTACTTTCGCAATTTCAAAACAAAAAAAAACATCAATCGATACACATCATTAAATTAGCAGTATGTTGAGGATAGATGTAGATGAGAGTAAAGACGCACGCTCTCGCCCTTACCCTCACCCTACATATATGAGAAGGAAAAGCGCACCGTCAGAACAAACGATGTTGTTTGAATAATCGAACCAACGATATGTTTTGAAGCTCATTGACATAAATAGAAGATGGTACAATAAATATGAAGAAGGTAATTGTCATTGGAAAGATCGAAATAAGATATGAAGCAAGATATAGCTTTTCTTGCCATGAATGTTCGACACAAGAAAAAGCAAAGACTAAGATCAGTCTCGGTGAACCAAAAACAAGTAATAAACATGGACTAATAAAACAATGTTTAATCAATATAATTTCATGTAGAAACAATGACAGAAAGCTTTTCTTTGCCACGGATTCTGTTGAACCTCCCATCAATCATTTCCGATTGGTAATATGTAAAAGTAAAAGACTGGTTGAAATAAAATTAATCAAAAAAGGCAATGTTATATGAAATATATTAATTCCTTTTTTACAGACAATAGTCAGCGACGATTACCAGGATATTCAATCACACACCAGGATTGTTGATTAGTCCGTAGATCAGTAATGAGTTGTCGATAAAATGTTTCGTGAATATTTAAAAGAATATTGATAAAAATAAGAACGCAAATGACTCGTTTAGCTAGATATTTACTCAACTGTTGATTAAAATGAACTCCTTTGATACAATTTATCAAACGTTCAACTGCAGCGCAAGCTGTTAGCCAGTCATATGTCGGTGGTAAAATATTCAATACCAATTCCAAACCGAGACATGAAACGAAATACTTAGGGCAATCCAAAAGTAGTGAGCCAGGTGTCTTATTCCATGAAACCAAGGTCTATAAAAATTTCTTTTTCTACTAACAGATAGAGCGTCTTTCGCTCTATCCTCCCATGCTATTTG